AACCACAACCACAACCACAACCACAACCACAACCACAACCACAACCAACAACAACCAACAACAACCAACAACAACAACAAAAACAACAAACAACAAACACAACAACAACAAACAACAAACAACAAAGAACAACAACAAAAAAACAACAACAAACAACAAACAACAAGCAGCAAGCAACAAACAACTACAACAACAACAACCAACAACCAACAACCAACAACCAACAACCAACAACCAACAACCAACAACAACAACAACAACACCAGCAGCAGCAGCAGCAACAGCAACATCAACAACCAACAACCAACAACCACCCAACCACCCAACCACCCAACCACCCAACCAACCAACCAACCGCCAGCCACCAACCACCAACCACAAACAACCAACAACCACAACAATAACAACAAGGTACAAACAAAAACTGCGGCCCCGTTACAACATATCTTACTCCTTTGTCTCTACAAGGGGGTGGAAACAAAATCCGCAGCCCGCCCTTTTTTTGACCACCACCCGAAAACAACCAGCCAACAGGTACTTTTACCAGTAGTGGTAGTGCTTGTAAACTTGTACTAGTGCTAGTACTAGTGGTACTATAGTACTAGTAGTAGTCGTTGTTGTAGTGGTCATAGGAGTAGCCGTAGTAGTTGTAGTAGTAGTAGTAGTTGTTGTTGTAGTTGTTGTTGCTGTTGTTGTTGTTAACTTCTTAACAGTGTCCCTTTGAAATCCCTGACTTGAAACATGTGACAACTATGTCAGGCAGCTGTTTTTCTCTACCAACAACAACAACAGCAAACAACAGCAAACAACCAACAACCAACAACCACAACAACAACAACAAACAACAAACAGCCAACAACCAACAAACAACACACAACAACCAACAACACAACAACAACCAACAACCACAACAACAACCACAACAAAAACAACGACAACGACAACCACAACCACAAACGACAACGACAACCACCACCACCACCACCACCACCACCACCAACAACAACAACAACAACAACCAACAACAACAACAACAACAACCAGAACCACAACAACAACAACAACCAGAACCACAAGACCAACAACAAAACCAACAACAAGACCAACAACAACACCAACACCAACACCAACACCAACACCACCACCACCACCAACAACAACAACAGCAACAGCAACAGCAACACCAACAGCAACACCAACACCAACAGCAACAGCAACAGCAACACCAGCAGCAGCAGCAGCAGAAGCAGAAGCAGAAGCAGAAGGAGAAGCAACAGCAGCAACAACAACAACACCAGCAGCAGTAGCAGCAACAACAGCAGCAAAAACAGCAACAACAGCAACAGCATCAACAGCATCAACAGCAACAGCAACAACAACACAAGGCGGGAAAATGGACATCAAACGGTCTGTGTTTTCCACATGGCCTATTCAGTGGTTATATGGCAATTTCTTGTAACGACTCCGACCCACACTTGCACAGCATTTGCATCACGAGTGTGGCAATGCTACCCAGTCTGCATATATGTATGCGTGTAGGTGTATATATATATATATACACACACCAGACTCCACGATGTCCAAAAAATTTTATGTCTTTTTGATGTGTCCTTGAAGTCTTTTATTCATGAACCTTGAGCCTCCACATGTCATCATCATCACCACTACTATGTCCCGGCACCCCGCTCCACACAAGTGTATCCAAGTATCCACCGTGTAACGAACCGTGCGCGCCTTGGAAAGGCTGTGGAGGATCACGGCCGTGTTGCGTGGGATCACCCCCACGACAGCCTGGCCGCACCCCTTGACAGCATGCTTCTCGGAGTTGACCTCAAAGGAGAGCTCGGCTGGGGTTTCACTTGTTGTACCAGCACGCACCAGTCTACAAGATTCTTCAAGTCTTGGAAGTTGGAAGCAAAGGTTTTTGGAGACTAAAAGGTCCCCGGTGACCTGTTTACGGGTCCTGGGAATGGATCAATATGCGGTGGAACGTATGCCGCTATGCCTCCCTCCCTTGACCCTGAAGCTTCCGTGTAGGTCAATCTTCCCAGCCCCCTCGTGGTCCGAACCCTCTTGGTCCGATGAAGATCACCTTCGTCCGACGTGTGAGGAGGCCGCATAGCCGCCGCCGCACAAGGAACATGCGCCATCCATGTTTTGAACTGATACATTAAGAACCACTAGGAAGAACTAGTACAGTCGCTCCAAAGTCGCTCCCTCCGAATATTCCGAATTCGCACCGGCCGCATCGGTCTCTCAGCAGCCTTGCGGCATATCTATTTGACACTGGACGGTGTACTTGCAGTCTCGAGCGGTCTGGTTCCGTGGCCAGCCCTTCGGATCTGGATGCAACTGAGGCAAAGCCAGGTGATGGTCTGCAGACATTGGTGAACCTCAACACACCTGCAGACATGACTTGCTTGGGGAGGCATTCCAATGCGGTCATTGAGATCTATGATCACTAGAAAGGCATAGGTGGCCCATCGTCGGCGATCCGGATCGAAACTGGAAATGACCTTCTTCTCCGCAGACTCCACTGGACAAAAAAAGGAATAAAACATGACAAAATAGAAGGTCATTGGCATATTCTATTGGCATATTCTCCTAGAGCTTGAGTCCATTAGCAACATGGAACATGTGCCCATCAGTAGGTCAGGGGCATTGCTTTCTTCTCAACGGACGTGCAATACACGCGGGCGCCACAAAGCTGCGAGGCGGAACCCCACCACGCGGCCCTTTTTGGGATCCAGCCACTGCGTGGAAGATCTTCTCGAAGTCGATGTCCTGGCGGAAGGGACCGGCAGGGACCGGTGATGACCGGGGAAGGACCGGGGAACCGTAGCCCCGGCATTTTGGGAGCTCTTCAGAGTGGGGGCATGTGCGCTGGTAGGACTACCTCTGATGGAAATTGACCCCGCCAAACTCAGGTCGAAGCAGTGGGATTTGGTACAACATGTTTCTGGGAGGGCTTCGTTAGTCAGTATATAGTTCCTCAATCTTCCCAAATCGCCTCACGATTGGCAAACAATTACCGATAAGAATCGCATATTTTCGCTGTCAAACATGAGGTGCCAAAAAACACCAAAAACCTGTCAAAAAAACTAACAATTCACTCATTCAGGGCAACTGGTGAATCAACCAAGACTAGTGAGTAGTATTGAAATGGATGTAAGTTGGTAGTGGTATGAATGTGACTAACAGTCCGTTCTCCGACCTTTCAAGGTCTGAAAACCTGTCAAGGTCTGAAAGATTCGTGGTCCCCCGAATCCGCCAATTGCCATACTGATGAAGGAGCCCAGCAGCCCGGCGCGTTGGGTCCAGTTGTGTGTTCGCACCCCCAGCCTCGCCATAGGCTCCTCCGCAGCTTTCCATTAAGGGGTGATGTCCTCAGAGTGGAGAACGGCCCGCATAGCTGGTGATGGCTGATGCTGGCCTTCCAATCCAAACAAGAACGATCTGAATCCGATGAAGGTTTGTAGAGACCTTTCACCCAAATATATGTGACCTTCTTTTGCCAACTGTTACTGGTAGGCGTACAAATCCCATACACTCAATGTCTGCAATATGTGCCTCTACATTAAACCACACCCATGTAGGCAAATATGACAACAAAACCTCCAAAATAGATAGAAAAGTAGATCACCAACATATCACCACTAATTAAACCATGTTTTGGAAAACAAGAAAGAAACCCTTTCTATCTATATAACAGTCCGGTGCATCTGCTTCTTCCCCTTCCCCCAAACGCATAGCGTCCGGTCATCAAGTCGCCGAACATGCGCTCCAGCTCCGCCGCCGGGCCTGTTTGATCGGCACTCGCGCGGGGGGATCGGCAACCGATAAAGGGGCAAGTGAAATCACCTGCCAGCTGCCAGCAACCCATCCGTTCGGTCCACCATTTTGCATGATATTGAATGGTATTGAGATTATGTATATATAATAAAAATAGAACTGTTAACCACTAATGGTTAAAAATGTTTGATTATAATTGGGAGATTCTAGACTGCAGGTCCTCTTTCAAACCTAAAGAAGCTGGTGCTCTCAAATGGTAAGTCGAAAACCCCTTGTTCGTAAAAGAAAGTCGTTTTCCAAGCGACCACGCCATCCTCTTCCATACTAGTGAGTATAGGAGGGTAGAAACCAAAAACCTAACTTGCGACTCGCAAACGCTCCAAACGGCGACGACACAGAACATGCACCACCAAGCTGTGATTCTGCACCCTTGCCATCCAAATAATGCAGACCGTCGATTCAAAAACGTAAAACCATAATATGGAAAAGGATTCAACAAGTGTTATCCTTTTAATTTTGGGCGGGTTTTGTTAATCAACAGTCAACATTCCTGCCCCATTCAGTTAAAACATAAGAAACCCTCCACTGTTTAGGTCTGATGACTTCATGCACTTTGAAGAGATGACGATGACCTTCTTTGCGCGACGAGGACTTTCTTTCCTCCGTCCTCCACTGCGAGCGTCCTACACTCCCCTCCGTCCTACAGCGGTTTCAAACGTTCGATGGCACTGGACTGGACCATGCAGGATGTCATTTGCAGGTCACCAAACTTGGACATTTGTGCCACTCTCCATCCATACTTCTCTCGTGGCCGATCCATCACGAAATCGGCCTTGGAAAGCCTGTCCACAGCGCGAATCGTAGGACTTCCGCTTCTGAGGGTCGTGCAGGACATCGTAGGCCTGGCGCAAAGAAAACACACGACCCTAGTCCATGAGCGCAGGAAACACGTTTCATAACTGTCAAGTGACCCATGACAGAGCTATACTCAACTCACAACTCTCAGTCAACGGATCCCATAAGACAAAGCACCCAGAGTCCGACACGGCCTCGGTGATCCGTTTGAAGGCCTCCTCGCACTCGCCCCTTGCCCCGTCCTGTGGGAACAAGGGTCCGTCCAAAGACCGGACCCGACGGATTGGACGGACCGTGGAACGAACGGAATGGACCGTAGACACAGAGCCCCCCGGTATGCCCAAAGAGAAGAGGAATTTGGTCCCCAGGGGGCCTGGTCCTTGAGGACGTGGTTCATGAACGCGTTGGCAAGCGGCTCCAAGACCCGATTCAAGCATTGTCTACTTCGAGCACTCAGCTCATTTCGGACAAAAACTCACATCCCGGCGTAATAAATATCTCCCTTGCAGAATCTCCAACTCACGACCAGCAACCACTAACTATTGTTAATTAACTAATTATAAGTAACTATATAACTTAACTTCATCAGCAGCAACCCAAGTGCCGCTGAATCATGAGAGCTTACAAAACGTGGCGGCCTGCGCATGGGCAACCCCAGTAAAAAAAAATTGAAGTCACTGGACCCACAACTTCCTCTACCCCCGGGTCCTCACACTATCTCATCCCATCCCATCTCCACCCCTTCCACCCACTTCTTCTTCAAATCCATTGTTGCTTTCCTCAGCATCACGATTCTTGTCAGGGTGGTACTTCCTTGGCTGTGCAAGCGCTTCCCTTGCGTGCCACGTGACACAACTCCAAGTTTTATCAGTTATCATTTCCCGCAACACCCAGGACCAACAAACTTAGCTCTGGGTCAACCCATGTTGTTCATCCACCGTGTCGCTTCTTGACCTCCAAGCAACGTTCGACAAACAAACGGTGACGGAGGCCCCCTATTCCGCCCTCAACGAAAGATTGAGACCATTGGATGTTCAATCCCAAATGTCAAGTGGGAGGGAATATAAAATAGATCCCAAAATTATGTCCATCTTCCCGGAATTATTCTCACACCCGGAATAGTGTAGGTGGTCGGAATAACATGGTCGATTTTCCTTGGTGTTTTGAACAATCGGATTTGTTTCTTGATTTCGCTTTCGATTGTTGAGCAATTGTTTCCCTGTCAAATCCTTGTTTAACCTCCTCTCCGGTTTTCCTTGGTTCCTGAAACTCTGACCTGAAAACCGTTTCCACAACCCTTAGTGACCTTTCATTGAAGATCATTATCATTGCCTCAAACAGTGTCTCATGGAAAACTTTAGTGTCCAGGTGTTGACCAATCCGCGTATGAATGAAGTGCTGAGGGGGTTGGATGAACGGGCGAAATTGGAACCCCCAAAAAACATCTGAACTTTGCATTCTATTGTTCTACTATGCCTAGTGGTGCAAAACAAACAGTCATCTACGACGACTGCTACTACTACTACTACTACCACCACCACCACCACCACCACCGCCACAACCACCACTACACTATCACCACCACTACTACTGCTACCACTAGCACCGACCATGATCCCTACTGCTACTACTACGACCAGTACTACTGACTACAACTACTCGTCCTAGGGCTAGCTAGTCCGACTTCTACAACTGCTCCTGCGACTACAACTGTTTACTTCACTACTGCTGCTGCTGCTGCTACAACTGCTAATACCACCACCATCACATACCATCACTACCACTACACTAACTATCACCACCACCGATACTACGACCTGCTACTGCTACTGCTACGACGACAACGACGACGACAACGACGACGACTACTACTATCACCACCACCACCACCACCACGACTACGACGACGGCTAATACGACTACAACACTGACTGCAACTACTACTCCTCCTAAGCTAGGGCTAGCTAGTCCTACTTCTGATCTACAACTACTCCTACGACTACAGCTACTTGCTTCCACTACTGCTGCTGCTACTGCTACTGCTGCTGCTGCTGCTACTGCTGCCACTACCACTACCACTACTACTACTACCACCACCACCACCACCGCCACCAGTACAAATGCATACAAATGCTACCTTACTAAAAGTATATAATGGTAACATATGATAACAATTGACAATAATAGTAAATAACCCAGAATCACTCATTATTCATTCTCCTTCATTTGCTTGCCAGGCGGGTTGCCAATTAAGATCCAACAACTGATCCAACATTATGTGTTTCTTTATTTTTCATTTCGGTGAAGCTGTGTGATTTGCTGGAGAAAATTTTCGATACTTTCATTGTGCGGGTCAACTTCATTGCATTGATCAAAACTCACCGCTGCTCCTCTGAGCGTCAGGGCGAGCTTTCGGTAGGCTTTGGTGAGCTCCTGGTTTGTGGCGCCAAGCTCCACGCCGAGCACCTGAGACCCGCTCCGCTCGGTGCCGCTCGGAGCGGGAGCTGCTTTTCTGCGGCAGGAGGTGCCAAACTAGCTCAGCGGCGAGGAAACTCCCGGTTTTGCTCTGAACAGCCCCAGTTTGGGGAATCTTGATTCCCAACCATAGGACCCGAAGCCATCGCTCCCCACGAGGTCACCAGCTAGCAAAGGGCGACAGTGAGAAGGTGGATACCAATTACCACTTACCTAGGGGCCTTTCCGATGCTAGGGTGGCTGACAAACTTTGTGCATCTTCAGACCCTGAGCCAGCCGGAATTCCGTTCGGTCACTCTCAAATCGTTCTGAAGAGGGCATGGATGGGCATGGGGCGTAGCCAGATAGTTTTAAAAAGTTTTAGTTTAATCCATGCCCGGGCGACGTCCTCACAGCACTAGCATTTACAAAATCTGACAAGACAGTACCCCTACCTTACGACTACAGCCACAAGGAGTCGGCGCTGGGGTAAGAGGTGGGCAAAAGAACTTCTACCAGGAGCATCCAATGGGTGTCCAATGGAGATCCACTTGGAGATCCTTAGGTAACGAGTACCAATTTTAAAAAAACAAGCTGCACTATTTTAAAAACTATCATGTCGGAAACCCCTACATACGGTTTATATTTGTTTTTAGATTACCGCCCTTGAGAACCGCTACTAAACTACCAACATTGCAGATGTTGGTGGAGCTTTTTTAACATTAGGTTCCCAAAAACAACCCTAATTGCCCACCTCTGTCCACCCTGTCTATCCACCATGACACGCCGCGTTTACACCAGCAGGTTTTCCTTCCCCCAATGGCACGGACTCACCTTTCGAAAGCTTTAGTTGCTAGTCTAATGAAGAATCACTAATTTTAATAGATGTTTTTGTAAGGGGAAAAGGAAGACCCTTCGATCTGGAAGGTTTTTCAATTTTTGATGCGAGTGCAATAAATGATTTTCTATAAAACAATTTCCTGGGTGACTTTTTTGTCAAACAATGATTGAAGGATCCCCCCACTGACCCTATTTTGGACAACCCTGATTTCAGGGACCCCCTATTAAATAGAAACATGCACCCGAGATCACCCGAGTGGCTGTTAATAGGAGGGGCCATGTTTTTAAATACAGTAGGTGGAGGGGATTAGTTTAGTGCAGTCCGTTGGACACCCATTGGATGCTCCTGGTCGGCTTGAACTTCTGCGACCCGCAGACGTGGCGTTTCCGCTCCGGCACGGCTACTGGGCCCTGCAACGAAGAAAGTGATTCAACGAGATGGTCTTTACAGCTACTTGGCCCTGCACAGATGTCACGCAAATCTCCGAGTTCTCATGTGAGTGCGAACTCGGATTGACGCGAAATCCCTAGCCTTACCAAGAAGAGCTTGTCAAAATCTCCAAGTCTCAGCCAAGGCCAGCCAAGGCACTTGATAGTGGTCCCCTTCGGGCTTCGGCGTCATTGCCCCCCCCGACCCGCCCGGAGCTCGGGTGGCCGCCCTTCCAGCGCGATTCGCGCGACCGGAACTGGGAGCCCAGGGCCGGCGGGAGCCCAGCGATGCAAACACAGTTTGAACACATGTGTTTGTCCATAATTGTTTTGCTGATCATGGCTGAACACATGAGTTAAATAGACATGTTGAAGACACCCTCAAACATGGTTTTGAGAGACCGGATTTTCAGGTGTGGGAGTTAAATAGTTTGATTGAATATACAATATATATATATATAGTTGGATTGAACATGCTATAAAATACACATTGCAAAGCACTGATTCACAAACGTTCCTTCACAAGGGTTCTTCCAACCATGTTTTCCTTCCCATTCCTCGCCCAATTGTCCGTAAGGCCATATAGCAAGAACAGTATTTTCCCAAGCTTGCAAAATAACCAATTGCTTCCCAGCCTTCCACCAAAAACATTACAGTATATTGCGCACAATATAACTGTACCAAACTTGAAAATGAACACATTCAATATAGCCAAATGATATAGAGTACAAGAAAGGCCTTCCCAAGCTCCCAAACAAAAGGTTTAGAAGCTAAAAACACACAACACCATAGTGCACTCGGACCAACAGCTAGGGTACGTAGCTTATTGGTGTCCCTGTTTCCTGGTCCACAGCCGCAACTGCAGCATCTGGCCGCATAGCGCACGCGCCATGGTTTTGAGCAGGGTCCACTGCATTCCTTTGAAACTTTTTGGGGGGTCAGAAAAACAGGAACCTACAGGAACCTTTATGATGACATCCATTGACCCGCTCGGTGCATCGGTTGATGCGCAAGGGTCGAAAACCATGTGAAGGTCACCACATCTGCCGGTCGCACCGGCGACGTCTCAGGCCCCGGGCCGCTCTCCCGTCCGGGTCCCGCTCGCCTGGGATCGGCACATGTTCAGGGTGGGCAAAGGGTGGCAGGCTCAACAGGGCCTTACACCCTTCTTTGACCATAGCGAGCACATTGGTCAAAATGGAAATATCTGCGATTGGTGCATATTTGTGAGTCCCCTATCGTTTCCCACTGTTTTGGAACCTTGTTAAGGGATGTTAAGAGGTACTTCTTTTTGTGCTTCCCCGTTTGCCAGGGTTGGGAGCATGCCAACATATATGAATGCAACTGACATACAAACACCCATATACGATCATATAACATATACGCCCTCCGAAGTGACTACTCAGGATTTTCAGACCTTGGAACTAGGAATGGCATGGACGAAAGAGGACGAAAGGCTTGCACCCTCATGGACCCTTTGCCTCCACCCATGGAGCCGCGGAGCACCGTGCCGGTCGTCCGTCGTCCTTTCAAGAGACCTTGCGTTTGACCGAGCGACGTGACGCACGACTGACTTGCGCTCCAGTCTGACGCTTCCCAGAGCCCTTCAACTGTGGGTACTGGGGAGGATTGGGCAAGTATGACACAAGCTACATCGTGGATGAGGGCCCCAGGTTTTGAGCCATCCCACTACCCATCCTCATATCATGGATCTGTATGTGGCGGCTCCCCTCAGCGAAGCTACAGCTAATCATCGTCCTATGTGAAAAGTTCGGACTTTGGTGCTGGATCTGTTTTTGGAACTGGGGTGAAAATCCACACTAGAGCAAATGGTACATGTAAAGTCTTACAAACGCCTGAAGAAAATCCACCCTTCTCTGAAGTGAGGTCTTTGAAGAAAAAGGCCACCTTCTAGGGATTTCTAGGGAGACCTGTTAAAGACACCCACTGAAACTGAAAGGTTTTAACAATAATGCAAAATAGATCATCAGTCTATACCATATGGTCAATGGTCTACCAGCGGTCCCCCCTTATTAAAATGCACCAATCCTTCTTCCCATCGATCTGCTCCAGTTGCTGAAAGCATTGCAGTGCCAGCACCTCGCTGCACATCGGCAAGGCAGCGGCCATTTCCGTCGCTCTGCGCCTGGGGGAGTCGGACCCATGGTCGACTCGGCGAGTCGGCTCTCAGAACTCATCTGTTACCAGTTACCAGTTCCTGACCTCGTTCGAACATGGTTCGAACAGCAACAGTTGGATTCCATCCTTTGGAGCAGCTCTTTCTACCAGGTGAATGTCCGAAGGATGAAGATAACATGATCTGCCTTTATGATTGGAAAGGCATGCTTCGACTAACAACAGCACACCTCACAACTATTCCTTGGGAAGATGGATCTGTCTACCCTCCTAGGACAGCACATTCAAGAATTTTTGTTGCATTCGTCATGCCCACCTCCCAGTATGCATTAGCTGTACCCCTGGCCATACATCATAGACCCAGCCATACCCAGCCATATAGTGGAAATCTGATCGCACGCCACACCCGGCCACCGCCAGTTGTGACTCCGCATCGACCCTCCACGTCGGTGGGAGGACCAGTTGTTCCATCGTCTGACGGTTCCAGGTGCGTTCTCAGACGGTATAGTGGACCCCCAGCACCGGGTGTAGTGGACCCCCAACACACACACACACACACACTCCCCACATCTCTACAGATCTCTACGCCGAAAATGGGGCATCCGCAAAAACCACCTGGCCGTTTTTGGAGTGTACACCCAAGCGGCTCGCCGGAGGAGCGGCAGAGTTTGAGGATGTTGGCCTCGTGGCAGGAGACATCAAAACAAATCCCCGTGTGTACTGCCAGGGGGGG